ATCTTCTGATCTACAATTTCTAAATTTCCTCTTGATCTGTTGCGTAGTGTAGGAGTAACTGTTATTTTAAATTTAAACTTGGTATCTGGTTCTTTATAAATTTGATGGTAATTTACTACCAGTCAACCCACTAGCTCACAAACTTTGAACTGTAACACTTTTTAATGTAATCACTTTGAATTATTTTACAGTAATAAGTTATAGCAGTTTAGAGATCAAAAAGACGATAAAATACCTTATTCCAATGAATAACACAGAAATACATTTTTGCATCCATGGATGGATTTATGCATCTAGACGTCAGACTTTTTAGCAAATTTAAATTTATATACTTAGTATATAAATTTAATATACTTAGCAAATTTAGTAAACAACAAACCGTAACAAGCATTCATAGAACGCACTAAATTCAATCGGGTGATTTCAGCTAATTTTTTTATTTTATTCAGTAATTATTAAAAATACAAAAAAACTTTGCATTAGTGAATTGTTTATTATTAATAGATCTATAACTTTTGGGAAGACAGTTTCTATGTAAAATTAAATTTGTCGGGGATATAAGCAATCAAATATAATTTTTTTTGGAAAAAATGGTTTTTTTTTTCCAATATTTGGGGCTCTTGAGGCGCCATTTCCACTTATCCAATTAAACTAAAATTTTACGAAGATTATTTTTTTAGTAAAATAAACCGATCTGTGGAGTGCCGCGTAAAATTCTACGAATTTCGAAAGTTAATGGCACCCTAATACATTGTCTAATATTGCACTATATTACAGAAGCTGCAGGTACTGAATTCCTAAGTAAGGAAAATTATATTAATGAAATGTAAATGTAATGCAATTTATAATAATGTTAATAATTTAAGTTTAAATCAATTTTATATATAGTTAGAATTAGTTATATAATATTATTAGTTTAAAAAATGTAAATATTATTCAACTTATAATAATATTAATATTGTCAATTTCAATATATTTTATTATAATATTATATATTGGAGTTTTAATAAATATAATTAATTACAAATATATGTATGTATTTCTTAAAAATTTTTAGAGGTATTTTTCTACGCAGCAAAAATGTAAGAAATTTGTTTCAAGCAGTCCAGAAAACCTGTAGTACGTAGACCTTTTCTACGTAGCGAATGTGTAAGGCCTTGTCACATACCTTCTTCAGAATTCGTGCTGAAGTGCTTTTTAAAGACCTTTTCTACCCAGCGAGTCTGTAAGGCCTTTAATTTTGGCTCATCCAAAACAAAAAAGAGATAGTGAAAAATACAAGTGTGTAAAGACTACTTAATACAAAAAAAGGTCTTTTTAAAGGTCACCAGGGTGTTATAGTATACTACATCCATTTTACAATCATCAAATTATATCTAATTTTAAATTCTACTATCTTAATTCTACTATCTTCGGCGAACAGTTAGTGCTACAGATGGATACAACAAGCCGTTAATGAAGTAGTTTTGGAAAAATTATTTTATGCTGATGGCTATTGAAAATTTAAACCAATCCTGGAAGGAGGTAAAAAATCTTGTATGAACGGGACTTGGAGACAAATATGGCCTAAGTGCATCCAGCTAAATATGCCAGAAATGAATGAAGTGTCTAACATTTGTGCAGATTTCGCTGGACGTGATAGAATAGCAGATGTTGATAGAACGGAAGAAGATAATGGAAAAAATAATAAAACGAGAAGGTTTGTACCATTTCGAGGAGTATATTTTATTTTTTTAAAACATTATACACATGTAGCCCACGGAATATGTTATTTTAATAAAGGTACTTTAATATTAGTAAAGGCAAAAATATTAGTAATGTGCACACTTTAAGCAACAAGATGTAGTTTTGAATTGGAAAAAAATAGAAACAATCACATTTTTTTATAATATAGATATATATATATAATTCAGCTATATATATATATATATAACATATCACAAACGTCTGTTATAAATGAATCTTTATTATAAACTGAAATTTTAAAAACTAAGTATAATTTTTTAAAACTAAGCGTTGCTTCAATTTGTGCTGTTTGCTAAAATTGCTTAATTCAAAATATATATATATTAGGATTAGCAACTCTGTTCCAGATGAGACACGAACGAAGATGTCAAAAAGGAGTGTAAAGACGGAGTTGAAGTTATAAGTCCTCCACATTTACCAAGCCATAGGGGCAAGCTTAATGGCGTCTCGGCGTCTACTGTTTCTTACAATTGAGGTGCCCAAAAGAACTTGTAAAAGTCAAATCATAAATCAAAACTAAGACACCAACGAGTTCAGCGTTAGAACAGTTAAAAAGACGAGCTTCAATTTGCGGACCACTACCCGAAAGAAAAGAAAACGTAGAGATAAACGAACAAGAAGGCAACAAAGTCTTAAAATATTTAATTATAAAGGCTGCAAATAGATGGATGAGTATCAAAGTCAAGCGAAAATAATAAACTTGAGCTCCAAAACAGATTGCTAACTCATTTACAATTGGTTGAAGACAAGGGGGAAACCAAAAAGATAAGCTCAGTGTATAGTGATGCTTACAATATAATTGACCAGGGAAAATGTTATTTCATTTTGAAAGACGTTGAGGAAAGTTTTACAAATTTTTTTGGTAGCGATAATGAATTTGTTAGGAAATAGTTACAACATATCGAAAAAAACTCTCTTACTTTGGAATAGCATCCAAGAATATGTCTACGGCAAGCAATTACTAAAAAGTGCCGCAAAGCTATTTGTCCGCTGTCAAGCGAACATTAAAGATTGGTCTTCCCTAAAGGTTTAACGCACTATTGAATTTACAAAGAATATTTTAAATACAGTGGTGCATCAACTTTTAAGAAATCGTCGGTTGAGAAATAAGGAAACATAACGTAAATACCTCTATAATTTACTGGAAATAAGTTGCACTATACGTAAAACCTTGCGAACAAAGTTTAGTAACATACTTTATAAATGGTATTCACTACAGACGCCAAAATAAAAGCACGCTTCATCAGGCAACTTTAATTGCTAACCTAAAGATGTTAATTCCAGTTTATTAAAAAATACGAGGACCTCTCCATAGTAGTGTTGATCTGGAAAAGGTAAAGAAAGGTTTTGGAAATTCTAAAAAGCTTAAGGCAGACGTTCGCAAATGTTATAAATTTAGCTAAAGCTCAAGTTGATTAATACTTTTAATATCACTAGAGCTGACGATGTTGATTATTCAGTTGTTATAGGAAATGACATTCTCGACTTCACTAACATTCATTTGTCGAAAAATGGGCCAAACTTCTTAAAAATATCTGGACAGACAAAACTCTGTACTGAGTCGACGAGAGGAATTCAAAAAGAGTATGAAAGTTTGTGTTTGAAGGCAAAGAAGGAACACTAGATAGGTTTATTGGATTCAAATGTATCGCATCTTCATTTAGATGTACAAAAAGAGGTCAAAGATGCAGTTAAAGGTTATAAGCTTATGTCGACAAGATAGTTATCCAGTTTCTATGATAATCGTTGTTACTGACAATATTCTAGTTTACGAGAGCACGGCGTATCTCATATGAATTTGAAAAGCAAGAAGTACTTGTAAAAGGTTCGAAAATATTAAAAGATGAAAAACAGAAAGTATTTAATATCAAAAATAAAAAATTTTTACAACATGAGAAAGTAGTTACAGAGGATGAAGTCTTTATAAAAGAAAAGAAAGTTGGGAGTAATGACAAGTGGGAAGGAGTTATAAAAGAACAGAAAATTGGTAGCGATGAAGAACTAGTGATACTTACAAAAGGAAAACAAAACACGAAAAGCCAACAAAAGGATGTAACAGTCAATTCGAGAAAAGCTAAAGATGCGTTAAATAAGAGAATAAGACGTATGAACCCTGAATATCGAAAAAAATAAAAAATTAGAGGTAGAGAACGTAAAAAATTATACGCCGAACGTATATTTAGGAGTCCTTGCAATATTTAGAGAAAGCAATGATACAAGTCAAGATTCCAAAAATAAATTAAATTACTTAAATCATATAACTGAACGTAAAGACTTGTCAAGAGTGGATATGAAGCGAGAACGAAACCGCTTGATAAAAGCAGCCCATCGTATGGATCCAAATTATCGCACTGAGGATAGAGAAAATATGAAACGTATACAGGAGGAATAGAAAGACTTTTAATTCGAAACGAAAGCAAAAAACTATTTGTAAAGTTAGGAATTTAGTCGCAATAAAAAGAACTCAATACGAATTAGCTTTAAAATTGAGGTCTAAGTTTTTTGGACCTTATAAGGTTACCGCAGTTTTAAACCATAAGTGGTATAAAGTTTCAAAGTTAGGTGTAATGGGAAAAGATGTTCAAAATATTGACATTCATCATTTACAGTGTAATGGGAAAAGTTGTTCAGAATATTGACATTTACCAAAATTCGTTAGGAGAGATCCCAAATGTCTTTTTTTTTTGTATTATTGTCTCGACTTTATATATACTTACTGTGATCATTTAACACAACTGGATAGTGTCGCAGAAATAATATTGGGATCCCAGAAGTGATTTGGCAATTATGAATTCTTCATCTAGTGTCATCTCTCCATTTTTAAGATTAACATAATGAGCACTTAGTTGATCAATCTCTTTCTCTAATTTCAATATCTGAAAATATTAAACTTGTTATAAATAAGGTAAATGTAACAATGAAATTGATTTTGATACTCATCCATCTGATTGCAGCCTTTATAATTAAATAATCTAAGACTTTACTGTTTTTTTTTAATCAATTCCAATGGAATTAACAGTATTCTCTATTTGATAAATAACATCTATTGTACCTATTTCAATACGTACATAATCACATAGTGAAGATACTAAAATATCAACTATATTTACTAATTGATCTCTCATGGAAAAATCTCCTACAATTTCGTAAATCAAATTACAAGAATCTAAAAAAAAAAAATAATTAATTTGATTTATTTTTCATTTTTGTAAAAATTTTAATTTATTAGAAATGTAAAAATGTAAAATTTTTAAAATGAAATAATTAAATCGCGGTTTATAGTAATGTTCTTTGAAAATAAGTCTACAAAATTTTGAGCTTTTATAAGTCATTCTTTGAGGAAACCAAGATCATTGTAAGAGACAATGAGTAAAAATAAAATGTAAGTTACTTGAATTCATATAAAGAATATTTACTGAATATAATAACTTTAAAGAAGTTTCTATATTCAGTTAATATAACACATTTTAGAAAAATGTACTTTAGAAAAATTTACTGAAATAACTGAATGAATGGTATATGGTATATAACGCTTTTGTCGTTAACTTTTACTTAACTTTTAATCAAGAAGACTACATATTTAAATATATAAATTAATTTTTATTGGTATTTTGAGTTCTATAATATTTTGAATAAATTTAATAACTTAATTAATTTAGGCTTACAATTATACTACATAGGTTACTTGTAAGTACTTAAATTATTTACAATTAAAGTAAATAATTGCTAATTGAATGCAATCCAAATTTTTTTTTATAATTAATTTTTTTTTATAATTATAATAATTTTTATAATTAAAATTCTCAACAAATCTTTGTTGTTTTAATTCTTAGTATTTTATTAAACATTTATAACTCTACAATCTTATTTTGCAAGTTTTTTAACAAATTTTATTTAGTTCTTAATATTTTAAAAATTGGATTAGTGAAATGTACGTGTTTTTGCTTGGCAAAATTGTATGATACTCGATCAACATTCCTTCCTTAATATACTCTCATTACTGAGGAAGCTCGTTCTCCAGAACGAAATAACGAAACATAGTCAGAACACTCTACGCTCTATATGAGACCAGCATGCTTACTTCGATAGATCTTAACATATATATTTGAAAATGGTTTCCTTAACTTAAAGTCCACGCCAAAAGTGTTATTTGGTCATATCTGGAAAAGTGCTCTACAATTTTCTTTTATTATATAATATATATAACATTTATTGCTTTAGTTTAAATTGTATAGAACAAATATAGAGTTTTAACTATAGGACTTTTAACCAGATTACATAAAAATATATATGAAATATATAATATATATGTATAAATATATATATATCGAAAACTAACAAGCCCTCTTAAATTAAATTTTTTTTCACTTGATTTAAAAAAAAAATCGTTATTCGTTTATATATTGAGACCCGTTCGATAGATTTCATTAATATATTTGCCATGTTGGCGAGTATTTATTCTCAATCACTAGCATTTATTTGATGATAGATTCGTAAATAGTACTATGAACAGCTATGGCTCTGTTCATAGTACTGGGTTTATCTCCAAAAATAATCAATATAGTCAAAGCCGTGTACTGTCAGAACCATTTCAAGTCCATACTGGAGTGCGACAGAGATGTTTTTTGGAGCCTTTTTGTATATCAATAAATTTGGGATCAATAGGAAAATCGCTGGTGCTTAAGTTGACGAAGAAAACTTAGAGTGCGTGTAAAACTTTATGTATCTGGGGAGTGTACTTACAGCTAGAAGTGGTCCACAAAGCAAATTCTACCTTCAATATGCTAAGGAACATATGAAAATCGAGTAAATATCTCGTAAAACGAAACTCCGCATCTTCGAATCAAATATAAAATTTGTATTCTTCTATAGCTGTGAAACATGGTAAGGTTCTAACCGCATTGAGTTAAAAATTCAACCTTTCATAGTATAAAATGGCCTAAAAGAATAAGAAATAGAGTGGTACACAACAAGAAACCGTTTCAGTTCAGATTGGTCGACGCAAGTGGCGATCGATTGGTCACACATTTTGAAGACCTGCGAACCATCTTGCAAGAACAGCACTCAAATGGAACCTCCAAGGTTTTCATCAACACAAACTTGACGCAAAGAAAACCATAATGCAAATTATAACTGGAATGATATATGCCGCGAAGCACCCAATAGAGTTAGGTTTCGATCAACGTAAGAAAACAGTAAGTACCATGAATAACTGTTCACAAACAATACCCTCCCATTTCACACCTCCTTTAAATATAAATATAAATATAAATATAAATATAAATATAAATATAAATAAAATAAAATAAAAAAATATAAATAAATTAATATAAATAAAAGAAAATATATAAAATAAATATAAAATATATAAATAAATATAAAATAAAAATATAAATAATATAATAAATATATAAAATAAAAAATATAAATATAATATAATAAAAAAAAAAATTAAAGATAAAATATAAATAAAAAATAAATATAAAAATATAATATAAATATAAATATAAAAATAAAATAAAGTAAATATAAAATAAATATAAATAATATAAATTAAATAATAATAAAATATAAAATTAATATAAATAAAATATAAATATAAATATAAATATAAATATAAATATAAATATAAATATAAATATAAATATAAATATAAATATAAAGCAATATAAGAATATTGTTCGTAATAACAATTTATAAATATAAAGTGTATTATATAAATATATAATCTAAGTTATTTTTCTTTTTCATTATTATTATTTTTTATTTTATTTTTAAATGTAAGTATAAAGCAATATAAGAATATTGGGCGTAATAACAATGTAATAACAGTGTAATAAATAAGTATAAAATCTAAGTTATTTTATTTTTAATTTATAAATAGTTTATAGTTTATTAATATATAATAACATAGTACAGTTAATTTAAAATATTGTATTCAAATTAGGCAAATAAATATTTAATTAATTTAAATAAATTAATAAAATAAAGTGTTAAATTTATAAAAGTCATGAATCTTACGTTAGAAATTAATATTAATCAAATAAAGCTTATAAAACTTACTTACTTTCTTATTTAGCCATTACAGACGTGAATCGTCCTTAGCCGCGTTGAGTAGCCTCCGTCAGTTAGCCCGATTAGTTGTTTGCTGTCGCCAGTTGGTTGTACCGAGCGCTCCCAAATCTTTGGGGACGCATCAAGTTGGGGCATTGCAGTATGCAGCAAATTAAAATAACTAACTTGCAGCAATTTCATGCTTTAGGCGTAAACGGTTAAGGAAAGGAAATTTCTCTTTAAGTATTTCTGCATAAAAAAAAACTTGTTACTTTTTATTTCTACTGTTCTTGTGGTTTTATGTGCCCAGTTATATCTTTGCTCTCTTGGAATAGTTGCTTTATTCACCAAACGAGGGATAAGTCAATCCTTCAATGGGTAAGCACTATCACCAAGTTGTACTGCGCCATGAAATGGACGAAAATCAAACACGAAATTATTAAACAGCAGCGAGTCATGCACACTTCCAGGCCAAGAAGAATTTATAGCGTAATAGCTACGGTCCGGACCATACCCTCATTGCATTTAAGGCATGTTTTCCATATCTGGTAACAAAGTGCGCCTCATTTTCCATTGGGGCATCAATGTAATCATTGTAATTTCAATACAAGCCGCAATTTTAGGAAAACCACCAATTTCAAAGAAATGCTGCGCAATTTCATGAGTATTAAATGTATTATTATTATTCCTCTCTATTTTCTCATTATCCAGAAAGAAACAAAATTTTGTAAAACAAATTGCAATTCACACTGATTGCTCTTTCGTCTCTATATAACAAAACTCTGGAAGCATAAGAACGCACAACAGAAAATCGTTGCCATATAAAAAACACAAGCACCCAACAATCACTAATATGAATAGAAAATATAGCAACCATTTCTATACTATATCACACATCCCCTTAAACGTATATTCAACAGCTCTTTTGTATGTTTCGAACACTTAAGATCATTGTGTTATACGCAGTTTGTGTATGCCTTAATTGTTCTAAAATCCAAAGCTCTTAGGTGCCACCTGGCTTTTCAAGCTGGCTGCTATGAAATCATAGGGTCATTTTTTTGTTCTGCATTCGCAATCTGTATATTATTTGTTCGTGGTATTAGATAAAACTCATCACTGTCAGCATTATTTTCAACCATATTTCCTAGTGGGAACATTTAGAATTAGGTGAATATATAGGACTGAATTTTCATCTTTAAAAGCAAGATTATTTTGTGTGTAAAATTAGAGCACAATCTACTCATAACTAATCAATGCAATTTTTCTCAATATCCAAAAATGATTTCTTATGGTGCATCCACACCAAGGAGTATTCTTGTGAACGAACGAACATTCGTAGGTAATCGTACCTGCAAAAGTTCGTTCGTTCACAAGCGTTAGCATTGGTGTGGATGCAACTTTACATATCTCCCTCACAAAAAGCTGTAGACGCCTTTAAGTTTTTCATACGTTGGACTTTCGTAGGACATGGAGAACTGTTTTTGTTGAATTACAACAGTGCCAAATACATACTATTCTATTGTCATCCAACAATCGCAACCTTTTTTCATTTTCATATACGTAAAATTTTTTTTCACTGTAGCACGGTAAAATGTATTCCACTTAATTACTAGTTTGAACCCATCATTCAATAGTCGTCGTCATATTTTTATTCATCTCTGTACAACGCATGTCCCTACATTGTTGTTATACAAAGGAGAAAGTACTTTCTATATCGCTTTATAAATTTTCAATGCCCAAAACTTTAAAGTATTCAAGTTAAAATTAAACAATATTTTATATTTTCAATTTTATTTTATTTTTTTAAGTGCTTATACATCTACTAATGCCTTTCTTGAGAATACTGTATGATGTAGCTACCAACACTTTGTCGAGGTTTCTGTACAACAGGAACTTTGACCGTCTAGTAGCTTTAATTGATAAAAGTTAAATGTGATTAAATTTTAAAATTAAAATGTATTGGTGCATAGTGGGATGAAAAATGTAATTAATTTGAATTAGTTCATTTATTTCTTCTCTGCACCATTAGCAGCATTAGCGGCAGCATCATCCTTTTCCTCAGAATTCGACTTGACATTTAAATGTGCTGGTCCAGTTTGTTGTATATGAACTACACGTTCTTTGGATTTATCCTCCAACTGTGGTTTTGGTACACTAACTGTTAGAACACCATCAGATGATAAAGTTGAAACCACTTTGTCGGAATCATACCCTTTGGGTAAAGAATAACGACGCACGAAATGACGCGAAATATAACCATGATTATCCGCACGTTCTTCATGCTTGCCTTCGACAATGATATGCTTGTCGACAACTTTAACGTTCAAT